TTTTGATCTTTAATATTTGTTGAAAGAAAAAATTTAGATGAGCTAAGGCAAGAACAAACAAAAGCCCATCGACTTCGTTGGAGGGAGACAGGCTGCTACCGTGCCTGGCATTTTAAAACCATGTGGTATGATTTTTCTTAGAACATGTGCTATGAATGTATTGCATATGTGCAAGTGCAAGGTGGCAATTTTGACATGGTTAAAAACATGAAGGAGAGTTGAAAATTAGGCCATTTTCCTTAGCTTGGACCTTTGCCAAGAATAGTTTACATTTTCTTTTTAAAAAAAGAAACATGCATTTTCCTAAAATTTAAAGACTAAAAATGAATCAAAAGCCATGAAAGTTGCTGTATGTAAGGGAATGATTCTGGTTAGTATGAGCCAATCAATCTTTGCATGAAATGGTATCAATTCGATTAAATTTTTTTTTCTAAATCTGCTGTCTGCTAACCCTTTGAAAGCATAGAGGGGAAATAATATAAGCTGTTTCTTTAAAAACAAAATATTTTGATAGGAGAAATTTGACAAGCTGATAGAAAAAGTAGGAGTCCATCTTTTGCATTTTTATGTAATCATCATGGAAAGGGGATCCTGCTGCCATTGTACCTTGGGCAGATAACTTAAATTCAAAGTTCCTTATCTGTAGAACAGGATAATTACCTGTTTTGTTGCCCTCATAAGGGCTTTTCAGAATCTATTGAGAAAATAGATGTTAATAGTATTTGGGGGCTTTCATCATTAAATGTCTCATAAATGCAATAACAATTCCGTGGTTTCACATGAATAATAGCAAGCCACAAGCCTTCAGTCTCTGCCATCCGGCATTTTATGACCCTGGATAGGGCACCATGTCCAAGAAATGTAGATTATAGGACAAGAGAGTAAATAAAGTTCATCAGTGGTTGCTAAGTATGTATATTTAATAATGACCAAGTCATGTACTGGAACATTTTAAGAATGGCTGATACAAAGGGAAAGAACAACCCTGTTAATTAAGTTCAAAATCTCTCCATGCACGAGTTAGGTGTTTCAGCAACCCAGCGTGCTGGATCCAGAGTCAAGTGAAGCACGTGGCCTTATTCATCTGTAGTGAGCAGGCTACATGGAGCAGGCTTTAGGAGACATTAGGGAGGTCCAAATGGAATGATACAATAGATGTATAGTCTCACATTTCTCTTGTATCCTTAAGTCCCTAGCACAGTGCGGTCCGTTGATGATTATGTGCATTTTCATTTTCTCTTCACATACTCTAGGCATTGTAAAGGAGGGCCATGTGTTGTAGCTAAAGGGGTACCAGGGGAGGCGTGGGTCGGGGCACTCAGCTTATGCACATTTAAGCTTGTAGCCCACCCTGAGGGTGGAATCAATGTAGTGTTGAGTAAATCACAGACAAATTTTTGTCCTTTTAAAAACTCTTGGTATAGCCTCCTTAGGACACAATTACGTGCATATTAACATTCTGTACATCCAGTCCCAGCTTTAGTTTTTCTCCTCAGGCTGTTTTGCTGGCCATTTTGGTTCTTTTACACAGAGATGGCCTATCTCAGCAGGTAGATTATTCTTTTAGTTTCAAATTTAAAGGTTTGCTTTGTTTTGTTTTAATAATTAGATAATAATTTTAGTACTTCACTACTTGCCCTCATATTAGTCATGCCTTTCACAAATTAGAAATAGACCTAAATTTGGGGGTAGTAGTTGCAATCTGAATTAGAGAGAAAGGGTAGGGATTCAGCATGGGCCCCTGGTGGGGTGGAACAAAGAAGAAGCTCAGCTGAAAGCCTACTGTGTGCTAAGCATGATGGCCAGGGCTTTTTACATGCTCTGCACTTTATCTATAGCATACCTTACTCTAGAATGGGTGCAAGGCACCTGAACACATTGGGTCTTACAGCAATCTTAGGAAGCTCATAGAAATTAAGCAACCTTCCCAAGAAAATACAGTGATGGGCTTTATCTATAGCATACCTTACTCTAGAATGGGTGCAAGGCACCTGAACACATTGGGTCCTACAGCAATCTTAGGAAGCTCATAGAAATTAAGCAACCTTCCCAAGAAAATACAGTGATGGGTGGTAGAGAAGGAATGAGAGCCCAAGGATTCCTGAATCCCACATTTATTTTTTTCCAATACATTGTCTTGTTTCTTAGAAAGGAGGGAGGCAAGAATTCTTAGACAATTTCCAGATTCAAATTTAAATTTTAAATGGACCTAATTTGGAGACCTAGTATGTGTTGACAAAGACTAATGCGTTTGCGTGGTTTGGCCTCTGTCACAAGAATAATTAGTTTTTATGTCCCGATTCTGTAATTCTTTAGTAAGGGAAACTCATGTTCTATATAAAGTGAATGCTGAGTGAATCCACAAATCTCAGCTTTTATGCCACTGTTAAACTGCTAGGTCTTGAGAATATGAACTTGGGTCTTGAGTTTAGGCGTAGAGGGAAACATTATCTTCTGGTTGCTCTTTACAGCTTTATTTGTGTTAAGACTTGTTTAAAGAAAGAAAAAAGGAAGATCCCTCTATATAAACATCTGGAGAGGCTTTTTCATAGACCCTTGGATTTTCTTATGTGTAGGGATTTTAAGTGTTGCCAAAGACTTGTTTAAAGAAAGAAAAAAGGAAGATCCCTCTATATAAACATCTGGAGAGGCTTTTTCTTTTTTCTTTTTTTTTTTTGTCTTTTTTGTCTTTTTCCGTGTCCGGCAACGGATCGCAACCCTCAATGTTGCCCCCGTACCGGACTGGGGACCGGCAACGGGACTGCAACCCTCGGCGTTGCTCCCGCGCCTCGCTCAGCCAGTGAGCTTTATCTATAGCATACCTTACTCTAGAATGGGTGCAAGGCACCTGAACACATTGGGTCCTACAGCAATCTTAGGAAGCTCATAGAAATTAAGCAACCTTCCCAAGAAAATACAGTGATGGGTGGTAGAGAAGGAATGAGAGCCCAAGGATTCCTGAATCCCACATTTATTTTTTTCCAATACATTGTCTTGTTTCTTAGAAAGGAGGGAGGCAAGAATTCTTAGACAATTTCCAGATTCAAATTTAAATTTTAAATGGACCTAATTTGGAGACCTAGTATGTGTTGACAAAGACTAATGCGTTTGCGTGGTTTGGCCTCTGTCACAAGAATAATTAGTTTTTATGTCCCGATTCTGTAATTCTTTAGTAAGGGAAACTCATGTTCTATATAAAGTGAATGCTGAGTGAATCCACAAATCTCAGCTTTTATGCCACTGTTAAACTGCTAGGTCTTGAGAATATGAACTTGGGTCTTGAGTTTAGGCGTAGAGGGAAACATTATCTTCTGGTTGCTCTTTACAGCTTTATTTGTGTTGAAAGAAAAAAGGAAGATCCCTCTATATAAACATCTGGAGAGGCTTTTTCATAGACCCTTGGATTTTCTTATGTGTAGGGATTTTAAGTGTTGCCATTGCAGATACTCAGAAGACCTTCCCCTTCCCCACATTTTGCCTAACACATTCCCAACACAACGTACTTCACTCTCTTAAAAAGAGGGAGAGCCACAAATTGTGTGACATTTCCTTTTATCATTTGGTTTCTGTCAGTGAGAAATATGCTCTAGTAATTTGGAAATAAACACACTGCAGGAATAATAATAGGCTTGAGAATTGATTAGGTGCTAAGGAGATGATCTTTGTGTCCTTTATATGGAAAGTATCAGAGGATTACTTAATACTCTGTCCTTTTAAGTTCTACTGTTTTGTCTCAGATTCCAGAAAAATCATAATTTGGTTTCATGTCTGTTGCTAGTCAGTCATAAGAGCTGCTTGATACTATCATCGATTGAGAGAAACAAGGTCCAGCCGCCTTTTATTCTGGGGTTGCACTTGGCCACTGACCAGGTGCCACATGCTGTTCTTTGCACCTCAGTTACTGTACACAACAACCCTTATGAAGTGGACACCGCTGTTATCCCAGTTTTATGGTCAGGAGCCTGAGGCACACCATGCTGTGACTTGCCCAGGTCACAGTTACTAAGTGTAATAGTTGTAATATAGTGCCATTTTCATGGAGGTGCTTTTGTCCAAGTTGTTACTTGAGTTTCTATATAGCCTCTTCAGAATAAATGAAGAGCTTTCCTCAAGTTTGATGTTCTGAAGTTTATTGCTCTTTTCATCATAAGACTACAAGAGAGACAGGCTCTTGGAAAATATGGAGATGCTCTGTTTCACATTTTTTTGCAGAAGATCCGTTTTCCACAAAGTCCTTAAGTAGATCAAGCTCAGGATGTCTGGGTGACTCTGTTATCATCCTGAGAAATGACTAGCAAGGTATTGCAAAGAGTGGTTAAAGAGAAACGAGACTGACAATACTCCTCATCTGGGTGAGAGGAGAATGATAGCAAATTTTTTCAAAATACCTAGTGATATGAAAATTTTTAGGTCCTATGTCAGGAATTGCAGTATAGCTGTAAGAGAGCTATCTACTCTTTCCCCCAAATCTCTTTCTGTACTCCCTTTATTCTGGGTAATTCTCCAATCTCCCTCCACTGGGATTGCAAGAAAGCTCAAATAAGACTTTTAATATGTAACTCTTGTGAAATCAAGTAATAGGTATTGGGAGCACACCAGGCAAAAATTACTGTTGTTTGTGCATATCTAGAGGGTTTTCTTGTTGTTTAGTTTTTGCATGTGGAATGTTAAAAAGGAAAGGGCGGTCAACCTGATGTGTAGAAGGAGACATTATTTAAGTTGCTTGGAGGTAATGTCATGTAAATTAAACCCGTGAAAGAAAGAAGGAATTGTTGCTTTATCAAAACTTATTTGTTCTAATTGCCTTGTTTATTAAGTGTGGTTTATTGGTATTACAAGCTATATTATTCTATTGGAAAGCATAGGACTATTTCATCATCACTTTTGGTTAGTAAGAGAAAAGTATAAAAGAGACATGATTTGTTGGAAACTTCAACCATTCTGTTCTAATGATTGTGCAACACATTGGTGCTTATTGATCTTTTTTCCCCTCTGTTTTTCAGGGTCGACATGTTAAAACGGGTCAGCTGGCGGCCATCAAAGTTATGGATGTCACTGAGGTAAGGTTTGATCACACATGTCTTTAAAGAAATTGTTAGCTAAAAGACAAGGATCTTCTTTCCCAACTGCGGCGCCTCCCCCCCCCATACAACGTGAGAGTTATTACTCTGGAGAATCTGATCACTTGAACAAATTGCCATCCTGTGACATTGTAGGTTCAAAGGGCCAGCAGACTAGTTGGCTTAAATTGTTGCGGATGGCCTCCAAGTAACAAAGAATCAGTAGCATTTTCCTTAAACACACACACACACACACACACACACACACACACACACACACACACACACACACACACACATCTGAGTGATGTCATCCTTGGCAGCATAGTGGAACATAATTGGAAACATCTTCTCTAATGGAAAAGAAAAGATTTGAGAAGGGATCATGGAGGTCACATGAATAGGGAGATGGAGGGGGGTAGGATGGGGAAAAACTTCTCTAAGGTATTAGGCCACATTTGTGCCATTTCTTTTATTTTTAACATGGGGGAAGAAGACAGATTCAGCCAAGTTCCCAGAGGTTGGAAAACAGAAACATCTGTTAGAATGCTGAGCAGATTGTTGGCAAAATTTAGTAGCAAAAAATAGTTCTTGAAATGGTCGCATGAGGATTTACTGTGCAGCTTTAGCTGGGAAAGAGGAGAATTTAACCCAGACAAAAAGTAATTGTTTGTATGCGTGTGTGTGTATATGTATGTAAATATAAGTACATATATGCATGGGTCCATATTTAAATTTTTAAAAATAGCCATAGATTGTAATGAACTAAGTCATTTTTATTTTAAGTTATTGTATTTTTGTCTGAAATTTTACTTTATGATCTCTTGATTGCTTCTGACTTGCCTAATTATGAATAGGATTCAACATCATGTTTTACAGATTCTAGAACGTTAACCACCAGCCTTGGAAATTTGTGGTATCTTTAAATCAAGCATAATTTCCCCAAATCTGTGGTCTAACAAGGGAGATAATGGGTAAACCAGTTTCATTTGTGCCAGCCAATAATCTAGTGAGAGTTCCTCCTGTGCCCTGCTCTCTGTACTTGGTCTCTAACAACATGGTCATCTCTAGTATGTATATTTTGTCAGTAAGAATAAGAAAACATTGTTGTCTTGGACTTCAGGACAACTGATAGAGCTTTATACACATATTGGCCGATGTGACATTTTATGAGGTGACCACTCTTCTCTGTCAAAGAGGATAATGGAGATTTTAAAATGAAAAAATACCATTGTTTGGTTGAATGCCCAAAACATTCTCGTATTGTATTGTGATACAGACTCTGTTGTGTTGTGTTATAGTGATCCTGTCTTGATATACAAATCAGTGGGTTATTGGATGTTTACCAGTTAAAATTATTTTAAGATTATTTTAAAGAGTGGTGAAGGAGCAGCAAGTTCTAGCTTATTGTAATTTAAATACAGTAGTTGAGCTATTTACGAAGTGCTCTTTTTGTGAATGGAATGATCAGTGGCACCTTCCTACCAAAATCTCCTTTCAGTCTGCTGTGCATCTTGTGAGTGCTGTGTTAGGAAACGCTGTTGCTGGAGCCTATGGTTTTTGCCTGTTTATTAACCACGTCTTGACTTGTTTACTGGCAAGCTGTAGTGGGTACCATTTTAAATGTAATCTTTTGGAATTTTTTGAACCAAGAGTTCACTTTCTTTCCTTGCTGTGCCCTTCAGTTTGTGCTTCCTCACCTGACACAGGTGTTGTGGCCAGCCAGAGTATGCCTCCTTTCACATCTCAAATGGAATATAAATGGGGTTTGTCTTTTCTGTAGAGGTCCTCTTCACCTAAGCCTGGCTCTGGTGATAAACGTACAGTACATGATCACTGCAAAAAATAAAGTATAAAATACAGGAAACTATGAAGAAAAAGTCAAATCTTTATACTCCCACCATAAAATACAGGAAACTATGAAGAAAAAGTCAAATCTTTATACTCCCACCACTTTACAATAGCCATTGTTGGTTCTTTGGAGTATTTCCTTTCAATCATGTTTCTATGGGCTGAGCTATAAAAGACATACCTATGTGTGTAATCAGTGCTTTTGTATTCCACTTTTGTTGAATTGTATACAAAAGGTATTTCTTTGCCAGTGTTGGACAAATACATGATATAAGTATTTGCAGGACTCCTTAAATAATTAATGCAAAGTCCATGTATCCAGGTAAAGTGAAAACCAGATGGTGGCGAGTCTTTGAAAAAATACAAATCCAATCAACTATTTACCATATTGGCCTCTCAGTAATGTTTCCTGTGTGCTGTCTTCATGCAGTGACCTCTGCTGTAGCTTGGGGCACAGTCAGGACCAAGAGTAAGTGTTGATTATGGATAGAGGACTGTGCGCAGCTGGCAGCCTGGAAAACATGCCCTTGCTTACCCTCCATATCGAGGGCCTCGGCTTTTGTGAAGTTGTAGGTATTGGCCTGGCTGGGACCTAGCAGCAGAAGGGAGTAGGCGGAGTGAGAGAGATTTTGCAGCTGATGCTTCTGTTTCAACTCCAATAGGAGGGACTGTTTGAAAGGGTTCTTTTGAGAGCAGGATTCTGCATGGTTTCTGACTTCCACTCAGTTTTGTCCCAGGAGCAAAAAGGTACAAATGCTTATTCTTGGGAAAAATCACAGACTTGTCCTGACTCCTTAAGTGAAATTGAGATGCAGTTACCCAGCTACTAGTCATTCCTCAGTCTCAGCAGGCAGGAACAGCAGAAGGTGTGGGCAGTTGAACGGTGTGGATGCTCTTCTCCCCTAGCTATTGGCAGCCAAATGAGTCAAGCTTTGGAGCTGGCTGCAGTGAGTGTGAAAATGTGGGCCCACTTCACCTGCTTTACTTGATGATGTGAACCTGGGAAACAAAATCACCCGAGCATTCAGATTTCACTCTAGGGTGAGGAGACTAAGGACTCTGGAAGGGAGATATTTGCTGGCAAGAGATGTAAAGTTTCTTTTCATATTTCTTTTTGGATTTTAATGGTATTTAGAGTTGACTATCTTAAGGATTTTGAAGGGTCCTTTTGAGCATGTTTTTTATCTGATTGGTTTTGGGAAGAGTTTAAGGAGTAGGTTAAGGATGTATTCAAACTGGGTGATACTAGGACAGCAGATCTATAATGTGTGTTTTGCTTTAAAATAATTATTGATTGACAGGAATTTGCAGAAGAATGTATAGGGAGATCCCATGTATGCTTCACTCAGTTTTCCCCAGTGATAACATCTTGTATAGCTATAGTACAATATCATAATTGAAGTACATGTACAGAACAAAGCAAAGCAAATGATCACTTTTCAAGCCAAAGATTTCACTTGGATTCCAGTGTTGAATTTTCGCAAATTGGGCTAGACCCTTATACTGTGTCTGCTGGCATGACTTAGAACCAAGGCAGACCATTGGAAGTTGACATTAGTGCAGTTCACAGAGCATATTCCCCAGTTTAACATGCACTCATTTGTGTGTGCATGATGTGTTTTGAGGGATACTTGAATTGGTAGTTTAGATTCTTGATAGCCCCTTTATTTTAATCCTTGTATCCTAAGGTCAAACTTGTATTACATAAGAGGTGGTTTGACGATAAGGGACTGATAGTTTGTTTCTTGCAGTTTTGGATTATCTCATTACTTTGAGTTAACATTCTGGAAGATAAAAAGATGAAATAGCTAAGCTAGGGATTCTTGACTTGGGATCCATTAAACTCTGAGTAAGGTTTACCTCTGAGAACAGAATTTTATTTTGCATTTCAATAATATCCCCCACCCTTTTGTTATGAAAATGTTTATACATACAGAACTGTTGAAAGAATGAACATTCTGTATCCTTCACTTAGATTCAGCAGTTGTTCACATTTTGTTTGTGTATGTTTTGTGTGTGTATTGTTGAAATTAATTATGGGTACCGCCATTACACTTCATCTGTTAATACTTGAGTGTGCTTTTCTTAAAGACAGTCTTCTACGTAATCATAATAACACATAAGAGAGTTAATAATTCCAGAATTTCACCTAATGTTCAGACTATATTCCAATATCCTTCATTGCACAGAGAATGTTTCTAGAACTATTTTTCAAATTGTAGTCCAATCCAGGTTTGTGAATTATACTTGGTTATCTTACCCGTCTCCTCCCCTCTCCTCTCCTCCCCTCTCCTCTCCTCCCCTCCCCTCTCCTCTCCTCCCCCCCCC